TCGTTAGTTCACACAACCATTATGCCCATCCATTGCATTCGTTAGTTCGCACAACCATTATGCCCATCCAGTGCCTTCGTTAGTTCACACAACCGTATGCCCATCCATTGCCCGTTAGTTCACACAACCATTATGCCCATCCATTTCTTCGTTAGTTCACGACCATTATGCCCATCCAGTGCGCTTCGTTAGTTCGTAACAACCATTATGCCCATCCAGTGCCTTTGTTAGTTCGCACAACCATTATGCCCATCCAGTGCCTTCGTTGTTCACACAACCATTATGCCCATCCAGCACAACCATTATGCCCATTCAGTGCTTCGTTAGTTCACACAACCATTATGCCCATCCATTGCCTTCGTTAGTTCACACAACCATTATGCCCATCCAGTGCCTTCGTTAGTTCACACAACCATTATGCCCATCCATTGCCTTCGTTAGTTGCACAACCATTATGCCCATCCAGTGCCTTCGTTAGTTCACACAACCATTATGCCCATCCATTGCCTTCGTTAGTCTGCACAACCATTGCGTATCCAGTGCCTTCGTTAGTTCACACAACCATTATGCCCATCCATTGCCTTCGTTAGTTCACAACCATTATGCCCATCCAGTGCCTTCGTTAGTTCACACAACCATTATGCCCATCCAGTGCCTTGTTAGTGTTCATTACACAACCATTATGCCCATCCAGTGCCTTCGTTAGTTCACACTGACCATTATGCCCATCCATTGCCATTATGCCATCCAGTGCCTTAGTTGTCTGCACAACCATTATGCCCATCCAGTGCCTTCGTTAGTTCGCACAACCATTATGCCCATCCATTGCCTTCGTTAGTCTGCACAACCATTATGCCCATCCATTGCCTTCGTTAGTTCACACAACCATTATGCCCATCCATTGCCTTCGTTAGTTCACACAACCATTATGCCCATCCATTGCCTTCGTTAGTTCACACAACCATTATGCCCATCCAACCATTATGCCCATCCAGTGCCTTCGTTAGTTCGCACATCCACCATTATGCCCATCCATTGCCTTCGTTAGTTCGCAGCACAACCATTATGCCCATCCAGTGCCTTCGTTAGTTCTTATCACAACCATTATGCCCATCCATTGCCTTCGTTAGTTCGCACAACCATTATGCCCATCCATTGCCTTCGTTAGTTCGCGCACAACCATTATGCCCATCCATTGCCTTCGTTAGTTCACAACCATTATGCCCATCCAGTGCCTTCGTTATGCAACCATTGCGCCCATCCATTGCCTTCGTTAGTTCACACAACCATTATGCCCATCCAGTGCCTTCGTTAGTTCGCACAACCATTATGCCCATCCATTGCCTTCGTTAGTTCAATAATAACCATTAGCCCATTCGTTAGTTCCCATTATGCCCATCCATTGCCTTCGTTAGTTTCACAACAACCATCACAACCATGCCCATCCATTGCCTTCGTTAGTTCGCACAACCATTATGCCCATCCATTGCCTTCGTTAGTTCACACAACCATTATGCCCATCCATTGCCTTCGTTAGTTCGCACAGTTGCCCATCCATTGCCTTCAACCATTATGCCCATCCAGTGCCTTCGTTAGTTCGCGTATGCCCAACCGTTAGTTGCAACCATTATCCATTGCCTTCGTTAGTTCGCACAACCATTATGCCCATCCAGTGCCTTCGTTAGTTCGCACAACCATTATGCCCATCCATTGCCTTCGTTAGTTCAACACAACCATTATGCCCATCCATTGCCTTCGTTCGCACAACCATTATGCCCAACGTTAGTTCGCACAACCATTATGCCCATCATTTGCCTTCAGTTCACAACCATTATGCCCATCCATTTGCCTTCTGTTGTCTGCACAACCATTATGCCCCATCCATTGCCTTTCGTTAGTTCGACCATGCCCAACTTCATTATGCCCATCCATTGCCTTCGTTAGTTCGCACAACCATTATGCCCATCCATTGCCTTCGTTAGTTCACACAACCATTATGCCCATCCATTGCCTTTCGTTAGTTCACACAACCATTATGCCCATCCATTGCCTTCGTTAGTTCGCACAACCATTATGCCCATCCATTGCCTTTGTTAGTTCACACGACCATGCCAACCATTGCCCATCCATCTGCCTTCGTTAGTTCACACAACCATTATGCCCATCCAGTGCCTTCGTTAGTTCGCACAACCATTATGCCCATCCATTGCTTTGTTCGTTCACACAACCATTATGCCCATCCAACCATTATGCCCGTTATCCATGCCCATCTATTGCCTTCGTTAGTTCACACAACCATTATGCCCATCCATTTGCGCCTTCGTTAGTTCGCACAACCATTATGCCCATCCATTGCCTTCGTTAGTTCGCACAACCATTATGCCCATCCATTGCCTTCTGTTAGTTCACACAACCATTATAGCACAACCATCCATTGCCTCGTTAGTTCGCACAACCATTATGCCCATCCATTGCCTTCGTTAGTTCACACAACCATTATGCCCAGCCATTGCCTTCGTTAGTTCGCACAACCATTATGCCCATCCATTGCCTTCAGTTCACACAACCATTATGCCCAGCCAGTGCCTTCTGTTAGTTCGCACAACCATTATGCCCATCCATTGCCTTCATCCATTATGCCCATCCAATGCCTTTCGTTGTTCGGCACAAACCATTATGCCCATCCATTGCCTTCGTTAGTTCACACAACCATTATGCCCATCCAGTGCCTTCGTTAGTTCGCACAACCATTATGCCCATCCAGTGCCTTCGTTAGTTCACACAACCATTATGCCCATCCAGTGCCTTCGTTAGTTCGCACAACCATTATGCCCATCCATTGCCTTCGTTAGTTCACACAACCATTATGCCCATCCAGTGCCTTCGTTAGTTGCACAACCATTATGCCCATCCATTGCCCGTTAGTTCACACAACCATTATGCCCATCCATCCATTAGTTCGCACAACCATTATGCCCATCCATTGCCGTTAGTTCGCACAACCATTATTCCCATCCATTGCCTTCGTTAGTTGCACAACCATTATGCCCAGCCAGTGCCTTCGTTAGTTCGCACAACCATTATGCCCCATCCGTGCCTTCGTTAGTTCGCACAACCATTATGCCCACCAGTGCCTTCAGCGGTTCACACCCATGCCCATCCATTGCCTTCGTTAGTTACACAACCATTATTCCATTGCACAACCATTATGCCATCCATGCACAAACCATTATGCCCATCCATGCCTTCTGTTAGTTCAACACAACCATTATGCCCAGCCATTGCCTTCGTTAGTTCGCACAACCATTATGCCCATCCATTGCCTTCTGTTAGTTCACACAACCATTATGCCCATCCTTTGCCTTCGTTAGTTCGCACAAACCATTGCCCATCCATTGCCTTCGTTAGTTCACACACAACCATTATGCCCATCCATTGCCTTCGTTAGTTCACACAACCATTATGCCCATCCATTGCCTTCTGTGACCATTATGCCCATCCATTGCCTTCGTTGGTTGCACAACCATTATGCCCATCCATTGCCTTCGTTAGTTGACACCATTATGACCATTATGCCCATCCATTGGCCATCAGTGCGTTGTTAGTTCGCACAACCATTATGCCCAGTTGCACAACCCTTCGTTAGTTCGCACAACCATTATGCCCATCCAGTGCCTTCGTTAGTTCACACAACCATTATGCCCATCCATTGCCTTCGTTAGTTCACACAACCATTATGCCCATCCATTGCCTTCGTTAGTTCACACAACCATTATGCCCATCCATTGCCTTCGTTAGTTCACACAACCATTATGCCCATCCATTGCTTCCAGTTCACAACCATTATGCCCAGCACCATCAGCCAGTGCCTTCGTTAGTTCACACAACCATTATGCCCATCCATTGCCTTCGTTAGTTACAACCATTATGCCCATCCATTGCCTTCGTTAGTTGCAACCATTATGCCCATCCATTGCCTTCGTTAGTTCGCACAACCATTATGCCCATCCAGTGCCTACGTTCACACAACCATTATGCCCATCCATTGCCTTCGTTAGTTCACACAAACCATTATGCCCATCATTGCCTTCGTTAGTTCGCACAACCATTATGCCCATCCATTGCCTTCCATTGCCTGCCCATCCATTGTTCGTTAGTTCACACAACCATTATGCCCCATCCATTGCCTTCGTTAGTTCACACAACCATTATGCCCATCCCATCCATTGACCATTATGCCCATCCATTGTTAGTTCACACAACCATTATGCCCATCCATTGCCTTCGTTAGTTCCATTGCCTTCAACCATTATGCCCATCCATGCCCCGTTAGTTCCATTATGCCCAGCCAGTGCCTTCGTTAGTTCACACAACCATTATGCCCATCCATTGCCTTCGTTAGTTCGCACAACCATTATGCCCAGCCAGTACCTTCGTTTCTGCACAACCATTATGCCCATCCATTGCCTTCGTTAGTTCACAACCATTATGACCATCCAGCCCTTCGTTAGTTCACACAAACCATTATGCCCATCCATTGCCTTCGTTAGTTCGCACAACCATTATGCCCATCCATTGCCTTCGTTAGTTCACGTTAGTTCAACCATTATGCCCATCCAGTGCTTCGTTGCCATTATGCCCAGCCGTTAGTTCACACACAACCATTATGCCCATCCATTGCCTTCTTTGGTTCACAAACCATTATGCCCATCCATTGCCTTCGTTAGTTCACACGACCATTATGCCCATCCATTGCCTTCTGTTCAGTTCACAACAACCATTGGTTCACACAACCATTGCCATCCATTGCCTTAGTGAGTTCACATAACCATTATGCCCAGCCAGTGCCTTCACACAACCATTATGCCCATCCATTGCCTTCATAACCATTTGCCCAGTCTTCGCACACAACCATTATGCCCATCCATTGCCTTCGTTAGTTCACACAACCATTATGCCCATCCATTGCCTTCGTTAGTTCACACAAACCTTCGACCATTATGCCCATCCAGTTGCCACGACCATTATGCCCATCCAGTGCCTTCGCGTTCACACAACCATTATGCCCATCCATTGCCTTCGTTAGTTCACACAACCATTATGCCCATCCAGTGCCTTCGTTGTTACCATTATTCATTGCCTTACAACCATTATGCCCATCCATTGCCTTCTCTGTTAGTTCACACAACCATTATGCCCATCCATTGCCTTCGTTGTTAGTTCACACAACCATTATGCCCATCCATTGCCTTCGTCACACAACCATTATGCCCATCCATTGCCTTCACAATGACCATTTGCCATCCATTGCCTTCGTTGGTGCACAACCATTATGCCCATCCATTGCCTTCGTTAGTTCACATTATGCCCATCCATTCGTTGTTCCCAGCCATTATGCCCATCCATTGCCTTCGTTAGTTCACACAACCATTATGCCAATTCCGTTAGTTCCAACCATTATGCCCATCCCCTTCACACAACCATTATGCCCATCCATTGCCTTCTGTTATTTCACGACCACAACCATTATGCCCATCCATTGCCATCCATTATGCCAGTTCGTTAGTTCATCCACAACCATTATGCCCATCCAGTGCCTTCGTTAGTTCACACGACCATTATGCCCATCCATTGCCTTCGTTAGTTCACACAACCATTATGCCCATCCATTGCCTTCGTTAGTTCACACGACCATTATGCCCATCCATTGCCTTCGTTAGTTCACACAACCATTATGCCCATCCATTGCCCGTTAGTTCGTTAGTCTGCAATAAACCATTATGCCCATCCAGTGCCTTCGTTAGTTCACACAACCATTATGCCCATCCATTGCCTTCGTTAGTTCACACAACCATTATGCCCATCCATTGCCTTCGTTAGTTCACACAACCATTATGCCCAGCCAGTGCCTTCGTTAGTTCACACGACCATTATGCCCATCCATTGCCTTCGTTGGTTAGTTGCCCACAACTTCGTTATGCCCATCCATTGCCTTCCAGTACCTTAGTTCGTTCACAACCATTATGCCCATCCAACCATTATGCCCCAGTGCCTTCGTTAGTTCAATACAACCATTATGCCCATCCATTGCCTTCGTTAGTTCACACAACCATTATGCCCATCCATTGCCTTCGTTAGTCCACAACCATTATGCCCATCCATTGCCTTCGTTAGTTCACAACCGTTGCCATCCATTGCCTTCGTTAGCACAACCATTATGCCCATCCATTGCCTTCGTTAGTTCACACAACCATTATGCCCATCCATTGCCTTCGTTAGTTCGTACCAATCCATTGGTTCCTTTAACCATATGCCCATCCAGTGCCTTCGTTAGTTCGCACAACCATTATGCCCATCCATTGCCTTTTGTTAGTTGCCCATCCACAACCATTATGCCCATCCATTGCCTTCGTTAGTTCACACGACCATTATGCCCATCCATTGCCTTCGTTAGTTGACACAACCATTATGCCCCATTGCCTTCAGTGTTGCCCATCCAGTGCCCATCCATTGCCTTCGTTAGTTCACACAACCATTATGCCCATCCATTGCCTTCGTTAGTTCCCATCCATTGCCATTCCCACCCATTATTTCACAACCATTATGCCCATCCAGTGCCTTCGTTAGTTCACAGCAACCATTATGCCCATCCATTGCCTTCGTTAGTTCGCACAACCATTATGCCCATCCAGTGCCTTCGTTAGTTCGCACAACCATTATGCCCATCCATTGCCCCAACCATTATGCCCATCCATTGCCTTCGTTAGTTCACACAACCATTCCATTGCCTTCGTTAGTTCACACAACCATTATGCCCATCCATTGCCTTCGTTAGTTCACACAAACCATTATGCCCATCCATTGCCTTCGTTAGTTCACACAACCATTATGCCTTATCCATTGCCTTTCGTTAGTTGACACAACCATTATGCCCATCCATTGCCTTCGTTAGTTATGCCCATCCATTGCCTTCGTTACAACCATTATGCCCATCCAGTGCCTTCGTTAGTTCACACAACCATTATGCCCATCCATTGCCTTCGTTAGTTCGCATCCAGCCATTATGCCCCATCCATTGCCTTATTCACACAACCAATTATGCCCATCCATTGCCCATCCTCGTTAGTTCACAACCGTATGCCCACAATTTGCCTTCCATTATACCCCATCCATTGCCTGGTCGTTAGTAACCACAACCATTATGCCCATCCACGCCCCTTCGTTAGTTGCACAAACCATTATGCCCATCCATTGCTCTGTTAGTTCAATAAACCATTATGCCCATCCATTGCCTTCGTTAGTTCACACAACCATTATGCCCATCCATTTGCCTTAGTTGCATTCACAACCATTATGCCATCCAGTGCCTTCGTTGTTCGCACAACCATTATGCCCATCCAGTGCCTTCGTTAGTTCGCACAACCATTATGCTCCATCCGGCTGCCTTCTGTTAGTTCGGCACAACCATTGTGCCTTCATCCATTGCCCCATTCGTTAGTTCGCATAACCATCATGCCTTCGTTAGTTCGCATCCAGCCCATCATTGCCTCCGTTAGTTCGCACAACCATTATGCCCATCATGCCTTCGTTCGCACAACCATTATGCCCATCCATTGCCTTCGTTAGTTCGCACAACCATTATGCCCATCCATTGCCTCGTTAGTTCGCGGTTGGGTGCAACCATTATGCCCATCCATTTGCCTTCGTTAGTTCACAACCATTTCGTTAGTGCCTTCGCAGTTCACAACCATTATGCCCATCCATTGCCTTCGTTAGTTTCCCACGACCATTGTGTTGCCCATCCAGTGCCTTCGTTAGTTCACGTATTAGTTCTTCAGTTCCGACCATTATGCCCATCCATTGCCTTCGTTAGTTCACAACCATTATGCCCACAACCATTATGCCCATCCATTGCCTTCGTTAGTTCACACAACCATTATGCCCATCCATTGCCTTCGTTAGTTCACACAACCATTATGCCCATCCATTGCCTTCGTTAGTTCACACAACCATTATGCCCATCCAGTGCCTTCGTTAGTTCACACAACCATTATGCCCATCCATTGCCTTCGTTAGTTCTTCACACGACCATTATGCCCATCCATTGCCTTCGTTAGTTCACATCACAAACCGTATGCCCATCCATTGCCTTCGTTAGTTCGCACAACCATTATGCCCATCCAGCACAACCATTATGAGCCTTCGTTAGTTCGACCATTATGCCCATCCATGCCTTCGTTAGTTCACACAACCGTATGCCCATCCAGTACTTCGTTAATTCACAGCAACCATGTATTTTATCCATTGCCTTCGTTAGTTCACGACATTGCCCCCGCCATTGCCTTCGTTAGTTCACACGACCGTATGCCCGTATCCATTGCCTTCGTTGATTCACACGACATTATGCCCATCCATTGCCTTTGTTAGTTCGCAACCAGCCTTGCAGCCGGTGCCTTCGTTGGTTCGCACAACCATTATGCCCATCCATTGCTTCGTTGGTTCACACAACCGTTGCCATATCCGGTGCCTTCGTTAGTTCACCCCAACCATTATGCCCATCCATTGCCTTCGTTGTTGCACAACCATTATGCCCATCCATTGCCTTCGTTAGTTCGCACAACCATTATGCCCATCCATTGCCTTCGTTAGTTCACACAACCATTATGCCCAGCCAGTGCCTTTCGTTAGTTCGCACAACCATTATGCCCATTACCGTTGCCATCATTATGCCCATTGCCTTCGTTAGTTCACACAACCATTATGCCCAGCCAGTGCCTTCGTTAGTTCACACAACCATTATGCCCATCCATTGCCTTCGTTAGTTCACACAACCATTATGCCCAGCCAGTGCCTTCGTTAGTTCCACACAACCATTATGCCCATCCATTGCCTTCGTTAGTCTGCACAACCATTATGCCCATCCATTGCCTTCGTTCGTTCGTGCCAACCATTATGCCCATCCATTACCTTCGTTAGTTCACACAACCATTATGCCCAGCCAGTGCCTTCGTTAGTTCACCAAACCATTATGCCCATCCATTGCCTTCGTTAGTTCGCACAACCGGCCTTGCCCAGCCAGTGCCTTCGTTAGTTGCACAACCATTATGCCATCCAGTGCCTCTGTTAGTTCTTTTAACCATTATGCCCAGCCAGTGCCTTCGTTGTTAGTCTGCACAACCATTATGCCATCCATTGCCTTCGTTAGTTCATTTACAACCATTATGCCCATCCAGTGCCTTTCGTTAGTTCACACGACCATTATGCCCATCCATTGCCTTCGTTAGTTCGCACAACCATTATGCCCATCCATTGCCTTCGTTAGTCTGCACAACCATTATGCCCATCCAGTGCCTTCGTTAGTTCACACAACCATTATGCCCCATCCATTTGCCTTCGTTAGTTCACAACCATTATGCCCATCCAGTGCCTTTCGTTAGTTCACACAACCATTATGCCCATCCATTTGCCTTCGTTAGTTCACACAATGCCCATCCATTGCCTTCGTTAGTTCGCACAACCATTATGCCCATCCATTGCCTTCGTTAGTTAGTTCACACATTACAGCCACCATTATGCCCATCCATTGCCATTGCCTTCGTTAGTTCGCACGCACATTATGCCCATCCATTGCCTTCCATCCATTATGCCCTAGCCAGTGCCTTCGTTAGTTATGCCCATCCATTGCCTTCGTTAGTTCGCACAACCATTATGCCCATCCTTTGCCTTCGTTAGTTCACACAACCATTATGCCCATCCACTTCGTTAGTTGCCCATCCATTATGCCCATCCATTGCCTTCGTTAGTTCACACAACCATTATGCCCATCCATTGCCTTCGTTAGTTCACACAACCATTATGCCCATCCATTGGCTTTCTGTTAGTTCACACAACCATTATGCCCATCCATTGCCTTCGTTAGTTCACACAAATCCATTATGCCCATCCATTGCCTTCGTTAGTTCGCACAACATTATGCCCATCCAGTGCCTTCGTTAGTTCGCACAACCATTATGCCCATCCAGTGCCTTCGTTAGTTCGCACAACCATTATGCCCATCCATTGCCTTCGTTAGTTCACACAACCATTATGCCCATCCATTGCCTTCGTTAGTTCACACAACCATTATGCCATCCATTGCCTTTGTTAGTTCACACAACCATTGCCCGGCCATCCTTGTTAGTTGCGCACAACCATTGCGCCCATCCATTGCCTTTCGTTAGTTCACAACCATTATGCCCATCCAGTGCCTTCGTTAGTTCACACAACCATTATGCCCATCCATTGCCTTTCGTTAGTTCGCACAACCATTATGCCCATCCATTGCCTTCGTTAGTTCACACAACCATTATGCCCATCCAGTGCCCTTCGTTAGTTCACAAACCATTATGCCCATCCATTGCCTTTCGTTGTTCACACAACCATTATGCCCATCCATTAGTTAGTTCACACAACCATTATGCCCATCCATTGCCTTGACACGTTAGTTCACACAACCATTATGCCCATCCAGTGCCTTCGTTAGTTCATATGCCCAACCATTATGCCCATCCATTGCCTTCGTTAGTTCGCACAACCATTATGCCCATCCATTGCCTTCGTTAGTTCACACAACCATTATGCCCATCCATTGCCTTCGTTAGTTCGCACAACCATTATGCCCAGCCAGTGCCTTCGTTAGTTCGCACAACCATTATGCCCATCCATTGCCTTCGTTAGTTCGCACAACCATTATGCCCATCCATTGCCTTCGTTAGTTCACAACCATTATGCCCACCATTCGTTGTTCCCATCCATTGCCCATCCTTCGTTAGTTCACACAACCATTATGCCCATCCATTGCCTTCGTTGGTTCACACAACCAGTCCACAACCATTATGCCCATCCATTGCCTTTGTTGGTTCACACAACCATTATGCCCCCATCCAGTTGCACAACCATTATGCCCATCCAGTGCCTTCGTTAGTTCACACAACCATTAATCCATTTGCCTTCGTTAGTTCACACAACCATTATGCCCATCCATTGCCTTCGTTAGTTCATTGCCTTCACAACCATTATGCCCATCCATTGCCTTCGTTAGTTCGCACAACCATTATGCCCATCCATTGCCTTCGTTAGTTCGCACAACCATTATGCCCATCCAGTGCCTTCGTTGGTTCACACAACCATTATGCCCATCCATTGCCTTCGTTAGTTCACACAACCATTATGCCCATCCAGTGCCTTCGTTAGTTCGCACAACCATTATGCCCATCCATTGCCTTCGTTAGTTCACACAACCATTATGCCCATCCATTGCCTTCGTTAGTTCACACGACCATTATGCCCATCCATTGCCTTCGTTAGTTCTTTTAACCATTAACCATTGCCTTCGTTGTTCACCATCCATTTGCCTATCAGTGCTAGTTCGTTAGTTCACACAACCATTATGCCCATCACACAAACCATTGCCATTGCCTTCGTTAGTTCACACAACCATTATGCCCATCCATTGCCTTCGTTAGTTCACACAACCATTATGCCCATCCATTGCCTTCGTTAGTTCGCACAACCATTATGCCCGCCCATCCAGTGCCTTCGTTAGCCCAGCCACACAACCATTATGCCCATCCATCCAGTTGCCTTCGTTAGTTCGCACAACCATTATGCCCATCCAGTTCGCACAACCATTATGCCCATCCAGTGCCTTCGTTAGTTCGCACAACCATTATGCCCAGCCAGTGCCTTCGTTAGTTCACACAACCATTATGCCCATCCATTGCCTTCGTTAGTTCACACGACCATTATGCCCATCCATTGCCTTCGTTAGTTCACACAACCATTATGCCCATCCATTGCCTTCGTTAGTTCGCACAACCATTATGCCCAGCCAGTGCCTTCGTTAGTTCACACAACCATTATGCCATCCAGTGCGCGTTACAACCATTATGCCCATCCATTGCCTTCGTTAGTTGCACAACCATTATGCCCATCCATTGCCTTCGTTAGTTCACACAACCATTATGCCCATCCATTGCCTTCGTTAGTTCCACTTTTATGCCCATCCATTGCCTTCGTTAGTTCACACAACCATTATGCCAATCCATTGCCTTCGTTAGTTCGCACAACCATTATGCCCATCCATTGCCTTCGTTAGTTCGCACAACCATTATGCCCATCCAGTGCCTTCGTTAGTTCACAACCATTATGCCCATCCATTGCCTTCGTTAGTTCACACAACCATTATGCCCATCCAGTGCCTTCGTTAGTTCGCACAACCATTATGCCCATCCATTGCCTTCGTTAGTTCACACAACCATTATGCCCATCCATTGCCTTCGTTAGTTCGCACAACCATTATGCCCATCCATTGCCTTCGTTAGTTCACACAACCATTATGCCCATCCATTGCCTTCATTGTTCGTTATTTCACAACCATTATGCCCATCCATGCCTTCATCGCACAACCATTATGCCCAGCCATTGCCTTCGTTAGTTCGCACAACCATTATGCCCATCCCTTCAGTTCCAGCCCATCCATTGCCTTCGTTAGTTCACACAAACCATTATGCCCATCCATTGCCTTCGTTAGTTCATTTATGCCCATCCATTGCCTTCGTTAACCATTATGCCCATCCATCCACAACCATTATGCCCATCCATTGCGTTAGTTCGCACAACCATTATGCCCATCCATTTCGCCTTCTATGCCCAGCAGTTTGTTCTTAGTTCACACAACCATTATGCCCATCCATTGCCCTTCGTTAGTTCACACAACCATTAACCATTATTGCCTTCGTTAGTTCCACACAACCAGTGCTCAGCCTTCGTTAGTTCACAACCAGCCATGCACATCCATTAGTTCGCACAACCATTATGCCATCCTTTGCCTTCGTTAGTTCGCACAACCATTATGCCCATCCATTGCCCTCGTTAGTTCACACACAACCATTATGCCCATCCAGTGCCTTCGTTAGTTCAATAACCATTATGCCCATCCATTGCCTTCGTTAGTTCACACAACCATTATGCCCATCCATTGCTTCGTTAGTTCACACAACCATTATGCCCATCCATTGCCTTCGTTGTACAGTTGCGCATCCAACCATTATGCCCATCCAGTGCCTTCGTTAGTTCGCACAACCATTATGCCCATCCATTGCCTTCGTTAGTTCACAACCATTATGCCCATCCATTGCCTTCGTTAGTTCACACAACCATTATGCCCATCCATTGCCTTCGTTAGTTCACACAACCATTATGCCCAGCCAGTGCCTTCGTTAGTCTGCACAACCATTATGCCCATCCATTGCCTTCGTTAGTTCACACAACCATTATGCCCATGCCCACGACCATTGCCTTCTGTTAGTTCACACCAACCATTATGCCCATCCATTGCCTTCGTTAGTTCGCACAACCATTATGCCCATCCATTGCCTTTCTGTTCGCACAACCATTATGCCCATCCAGTGCCTTCGTTAGTTCGCACAACCATTATGCCCAGCCAGTGCCTTTCTGTTAGTTCGCACAAACCATTATGCCCATCCATTGCCTTCG